GCTACTAAGGGTCTTGCTGAGCGGGGGTGCGTTCTGGAGAGGTATTGGCCTCCAGAGAGTGTAAATTCTATCAGCTACCGTGTGCTAACGAAGAGAGAGGCCTGTCGACTCCCGAGTGAGTATGAGGTAGAGCTGGATGGTGTGAAAACAGCACCTAAGGCTCGGTGACGACAGCGCTCCTGGGTAACTTCGTGAGGCGGCGCTGGGGAGGTTGTGGCTCGACCCGCGGGCCTTGCTCGATGGTGGAGCTGTGTGGAGCAGCTCGTATTTCGAAGCAGTCCTGATCCGGTGAAGTTCAACAATCGCTTACATGGGAGAAGAATTAAAGCAACGAAGCTTCGTGTGAGGCGTTGGACCAGTACGTGGAAGTGTATTAGTCTGGATAGGCCAGGCGACATCAGTTTCCACCTAACATCTAGTGAGGAACACTTCGTGGAGTATGCGGTGCCAAGGGAGGAGTAACAGTCGGCGCCAAGTGAGAAGTTACAAGAAGACGTCTCTACGTCCTGCTTGATACCTGCTTGATGGGGTTCTGGGAGTTCTTTTATTCCCCAAGCCTGGCCCGAGGCCAGGCTTGACTTGTGAGAGTTTGGTCCACCAGGCAACAGGGCCAGGCTTGACTTGAGAGAGTTTGGTCCACCAGGCTGTTGCTTGGAGCGGCCCGCAGGGCCCACATACCCACCACAGCCCGGTTGGTCAGGAACTCCTTGAAAACTATCTAGTTTTTTCTTGAAGATGCCAACCCGTTCTCGCAAATTCGTAAAGTCAATATTGACTTATTAACTACGTGCATAGGTGATATACTAAACATAATAGATACCCCTAAAAAGATTCATAGAAAACACCGACCTTACCTAACCTTGTTAGTATCTTAAGATAAGCATCTTATTGCTTCGTAATTACAATTATTACTTAACCTAAACCTATTATAGGTTAGGTAATAATTGTAATTACGAAGCAATAGGATGCTTATCTTAAGATACTAACAAGGTTAGGTAAGGTCGGTGTTTTCTATGAATCGTTTTAAGGGTATCTATTATGTTAAGTATGTCACCTATGCACATATTTAATAAGTCAATATTGACTTATTAAATTTGCGAGAACGGGTTGAAGATGCCCACAGTTGTTCCCGCAATATTTCTTATGCTCGTTAGAAGGATGTTGAACAACCGCGGACCTCTGATGTTTACACAGTGTTCTCTAATTGTGCCTATGGCACCTCTGCTCTTCACTGGTTCTATTCTGCATTTTCATCCATATCGTTCACTCCGGTATGTTGATATTTTACTGTGTAGGTTTGGGACCTGGCCCTCCAGTATTTTCCACGTGTATATTATTTGATATCTCTCTCGTCTTCTTTCTAGCAAGAACATTTGGAGCGCTTTGAGATGATCACAATAATTTAGGTGCTTTATCGCGTCTATGCGTGCCGTATATGTTCTCTGTATTCCCTCTATTTCAGCAATCTCTCCTGCTCTGAAGGGGGAAGTGAGTACTGAGCAGTACTCAAGACAGGACAACACAAGTGATTTGAAGAGTACAACCATTGTGATGGGATCCCTGGATTTCAAAGCTCTCGTAATCCATCCTATCATTTTTCTGGCTGACACAATATTTGCTTGGTTATGCTCCTTAAACGTTAGGTCGTCAGACATCATTATTCCCAAATCCTTTACATGTTGCTTTCCTACTATGGGCAAATTTGATTGTGTTTTGTACCCTGCATTATGTTTAAGGTTCTCATTTTTACCGTACCTGAGTACCTAGAATTTATCACTGTTAAACATCATGTTATTTTCTGCTGCCCAGTGGAAAACTTTATTAATATCTGCTTGTAATTTTTCAATGTCTTCATCAGAGGTACAGCAGAGTAGCAGAGGCAATGTCTTCAGCAGCAGATGACATTTTGGTGTCATCTGCAAAGGATGATACAAAGCTGTGTCTTGTATTTGAGTCTGTATCTGATATGAGAATAAGGAAAAGCAGTGGTGCAAGGACTGTACCCTGATGTACAGAGCTTTTAACTGCGCCGTGGACCGGTGAAGAGCTACGTTGCGCGCCTAATATATACAAGTGTACAATCTATAAGTTAAATTGCTCTCCCATTACCCCCTTGTGTTAGGAAAGGTGTTATATACAAGTAAGGCGATAATCGGAAACTAGGTTAGTGTCATCGGACATAAAGTATTATTAAATATTGTGTACTAGTGATTATGTTTTCATGTATTGATTAAGTAGTGATTTAAAGGCTACATATATTGAAGAGGCGTTATAATATACCTGCACATTTATATTCACATGATATAAGTTTTGGTTAAGAGATTGCCTCATAACTGTCGTTTTGGAAACAGTGAAGTGTTGCCAGATATTGTGATTAATTTCAAGGGAAGGTAAGGGAATCATCAAGAGAGAAAACCAAGACATCTCAGCTATATAGCGCTTGGAAGGAGTCAGAATAAGGATTTGGGATGGGACGGGGGGAAGGAATGGTGCCCAACCA